AGGGCTTCATTGCAAAATGATACCCATCATCCAATTACAATTTGGATTATCTAGTGTTAGATAACAGATTACCCTACCTGATATCTCCTCTTAATAAGTTATCACCAAATTAAATCAACAATGTTTTTCACTACCATAACTTAAATATAATTTTTTCCATTGGCCTGCTTACATAGACTTTTGATTTGGAAGCTTTCAAAACAAAATGCATTTTACGCTACAGGTTTAAAGGATACAGGATACATAAATGTACAAAACTGCAAAAATCTAAATATATAATACGCTAAGCCGTTTTTTGTGAACAGAACACCTCTCTTATTTTTGGACCGATTTTGATGATTAAAGTGTGAAAAAAATTGCCCTGATCTGTAGTTTTGCAAGGAGTTTTTTTGTTTTTTGATATCTTTATTAGTTTGGTCAGGATCTTCCACCAAAGTTGGGGTTTCTCCCATAAGATTAACATGGGGGAATCTAAATATTTAATTAAAGACTTTGTCTCCACTAATTTTAGAGAACAGTTGGGCGTATAAACTTGGTAGAGGTGTCCAAAGAAAGGTCTTCGTCTGTAGATGAGTTATCAAAAGAAAAATGAAGTAAATTTGCTTAGGGCTCTGCCCCAGAAGCCTTTAAAGATCCATCTACAGATTTGTTTACATTTTGGTCATGTGGATAATACTTTTTAATAAAACAGCTGTTAATTTTAAAACTGTGTTTTAAACAACATACATTTATTGGGAGTTACTGAATTGTCCAAAAGATTTCCAAAAGTATTTGCAATGTTATTTTCTGTTTTTTTAATTGATTTTCCTCTGTATCATTTGTGTTGAAATATAAAGTTCCATTACGAAATCAGTGGAAAATCCTGTTAGGCCCTATCACAATATCTCCTTCAATTGTTTCTCATTGAACTATCTTATATCTATTTTACGGGTTGGTGTCTGCCTTTTTCACACCTTTTCCCTATATTTCATCATATTATTCTAGACGGCTCATCATAGGTCCAAGAGATTATTGGCATGTACACATGCTTTCAATTATTGGAAAAATCTTCGATTGTGTAATACAATACAAAATAATATAAGTGCAGAAGGGCACGGTGCCCATTTGAGCCGTGTCCATATTTTTTAAATTAATAGTGGTTTACAGCAACTGGATAAAACATTTTACAATATTTATGTAGAAATATGTGCATGATTTAGAAAGTCATTAAGCTGGAAAACTGCTATATACTGCAGACTTTTCAGAGAGGTTACTTCGATGTATTCATTAACCCTCCGAGTGTCCCTTGTTTTGGCCTTAATGTCTGCCTATTTTTTGCTCATTTGCAAGGTTTTATTAAAACGGATCTGAGAAGCTTGAAAACAATGTTAATTATACTGTTCTATAGGCTATACCATTTTGTTTGGAAAATCATGGGCTTCAATATTATACATAAAACATAAGGAACATTTGTTTCAAAAAAATTTGTTAGGTAAAAAAATATATTTTGGAAAAAAAAAAAAAAATAAGTTCGCGCTCAATGAAATTGTATAAATTATAGGCCTATAAATATTTGGAAATAGCCACTTTGTTCTAAATTTTATGAGGATTACAAATATATAATAATATAAGGAAGTAGATTTGCAAATAAATAAGTTATGGGAAAAAAACAGATTTCAGTACCGGTACATAGCGTTTAGCTAAGAATGCATAGCCTAACCATAGCTAGGAATCTGACTGATAATTTACATCAATATCACTAACTACTTCTTCAGGATCATCAACCAGCCCTTCAAAATCACTTAAATCTTCTTATAATGCACCACGTATATCACTACTTTTGATTTTTAACACTAAAACAATGATAAACGTAATAAAACACATCAGTCATCGGTCCGAGGATAACCAAGCTGTTTACAAATACGCACGTCAGCTGTCTGCTACAATATTTTTGGAACTAAAATGAATAGCGCTTAGAGACAGACCTCCGGAGAAAGCTCTGAATCTGTAAAATAAAACGATACCTAACTCGATCCAGTTCAATCCGATTTTGTCAGTCATAGAGCCTTCGCCGTAAACAGTGTTTGTGAGTCGCTGCAGCGACACAAAACACTACACAAAGTGTGTTATGTGTCGCTGCATCGACAAATAACACTCGGAGGGTTAAGCTTAGGCTAGTGAAAACATAATATAGATATGTATACAAATAAGAACTTGAACTCTTAGAGAGCTTTGAATGTTATTAGACTAACGAAAAGGGTTGTGCATATTTACTAGCACTACTCAGCATCAAAAACCATTTAATGTATCTCTATATATATTCTTAAAGTGCACTCAGCAGCAACCTAAAAAATCTATGCAACTTACCCATATAATATTGTTACAAAATGCTCAAACTCTCATTGTGACATTTATAATTCGGGTTATATTTCTCCAACAGAAAATTCATCTGCAGAAGAATGTTATTGTGCTCTTACTATGTCATTTACATTATTTTGTTGCCAATGAAGCTGCGCGACCATATAAATGAGGAGGCCCCTAACAGTTCAAGAATAAAAGCCAACTTCACTTCAAGTATATTCCACTAAAAACCTGACATTCCGTAGAGGGATTATATTGACAACTTTATGTAACTGATAAGGCTGAGACAACTGACATCCCCCATGCCAAGGAATTACAGCTTTAACAGTAACACCACAACCAATTTCTCAAAACTGTGCTAGAGGGTTATTAATTGATACAGAAGTACTATATGAACTGACGCGACATGACAAAGGAAAAATCAAACTTACACTGTAACGGATGTACCTCCCTTTGAAGTTAGAACGTGTCTTCCCAACAGACAGATTTTTATCAAATAAAATCATAGATTAATCTGCATTACACTGATGAAATCACGGAAGTGTTTAACTACAAAAGATCCACCAATACGATTTTAATACTATTTAAAGGTTCTTCCAAAGGAAGAGATACCAGATAGCACACTAACAATTCCGATGACGTACGTATGGGAAATATTTTATTCATTGAATGATCAACCATATTTGGTAAATAACGCAATTAATATCATTATTGTTTTTACACTTATTAATCAATGCTAAATGCTTAAAATATGTATAATTTCACTAAATTTCTCAATCACTCAATTTATCGCAGTTAGATGAATTAGCGTAAGCCTTGAAAGTAACTGTCGATTTCGACAGGTTTCACTTACTAGTATAGAATAATTGCTTGTCCTGGAACATATATATTTATTGGTTGCGTAGACGCTTCTATTAAGAGGGTTTTCTGTACACCATAGTTTCTCCTGCCCATTTTTATTCTACCATGTTTCTTTTGGAGTCGCTTTACTGTTTTAAAGTTTAGGTTTAAGCTTACTTTTTAAGCTTCTTTTAAACTGCATGTGTTAGTCATACACAATACGCAACTCAAGTTGCCGTTGCGTGGTTATAACCGGTTGCTTTTGGTATGTAGCCTCTGATTCTACATGCAAATACTCCTCTATTAAATATGGATTTAGAGGGCGGAGAGGAGTGCTAAGTTAGTCACAATATATCCATCCAAAGGAATGCAACTAAGTTTACAAACCCCCATGTTTATTAGATTAAGTACCTAGGTCGTATCTATCTTACTACCAAATTGTAAAGGCTATCCTACTAGGTATCAAAATTAATCTTTTGTATTCTCTTTCGTCATGACTAAGTTAGTTATAAGTTTAGTATGTTGACAAGTAGGCCTACCAGTAAGTTAATTCAAAAGACATCCTTAAAAAATAGGCTAAAGTAGGCCTAAATAGTAAAGGGGTAAACAGTTTCTAAACTGGGCTACCCTAATATTGATTGAAAGTATCGATTAATAATAGATATTTTTAACTACTGTATATAAATTATAGAACGGAACTGTCATAACCTAACCTAACTAACGAAACTTGCTGATGATGAAAAAATCAAATGAAGGTTTACTAATCAAATTGATAGTTTCAATCAGTATTAAGTTAGGGTTTAAAGTTAGCCCAGTTAAGAAACTGTACCATAGGCCCTAGTACCTAACCTAAAGTACCTACCTACCCTAGTAAAAAAAGGCGTGTAAAGAGGCCTAAGTTTAAGTTATGCCTATATAAAACTATGTCTAATTCAGATAATTTAGGCTACCGTATAGAAGATACGATAGGCATAGAACAATAAAATGTTTCATCTTCCAAAGCCTAACCTAGCCTAATCTCAGATAATGGCCAAACAATACATATTTACTTACTTGAATAGGCCTACCTAACTTGGTTTAAGTTATTCATCTTCGACCAACAAGGTTGGATAGATCTAACTTAGCGTCTATTTGCATTAGCCTACATATTAAAAACACTATTAGGCCTACATATATATACAACTAAGCAACAAAGGCAGGAGTGGCAGTAAATTATTATTTACAAATACGGGAGGCTCGTCAAAAGTTTCTTGCCAGGAGTACAACAGTCGACTTAGAGAAAATTGGCGTAGCGTTGACTTGAATCACTTTTTCTCAAGAGCACGAACTCCTGTCGACAGCGTAACAAAAAGCCGAATAGCCCTAGCAAGCGACGGGTAGGAGTTTAGTCAACAGCGGGGCAGGTCAAAATCACATGCTCTACGCATCCCGTAATCATGCTGCATGCTTCTAATCATAAAGGATGACTCATTTTCAGGAGGGCTAGGATGTTAAGTACCTAAATTGGCTACCAAGCTACATGAAGATTGGCCGACAATGGTCAGTTGTATTTAGGTACTCGACAATGTTATATTATTCACACGGCCTTCCTTTGAAGCAGCAAGAAACTTCGGGTGGCGAGGCTATTCCCCCACCAATGATTAAAATTACTTCAGGATAAGGACATAGGCCTTAGGCTGCCTAACTTACTTACTTGTGCTAGGCCTACTTCCTTATTGGTAAGCATAGGCTACTCAATGATTAGATCAAATTTAACAAGAACTTTAATTGGGTCCACAGTAGTCCTAACCTATATTTTAAACTAGTTTCAAAATACTTACATAAAACCCATATTAATGTTAATCCACACATCTCCTGCAATTGATGATACGACTGAACACACTATCACTTCATGCTGGATAGCAGCCGATTATCAACTATTACAAATAAACAAGCACCATTAAGGATATTTTATTGACACCACAGCAACTGAGTTAGGATCGACGACAACAACGCAACGCACAGAACAAAACCGAACAACAACAAACAAAACTACAACCTACAACTAAACTGACTTGCTCCTTGCTTTAGGCTTTTACGACAGCGACAGCACGTCACATTCGGTTCGGATTCAAAACCAAAAGAGATTTCGTTTTTACCAACCGTTCAGACAAAATACCACGACGACGGCTGACGAATGGAATGAGCTGACTGGACAGACACACTCAGTGCTACCACTACATTTTTGTGCTGGAAGGTGAAAGTTCAAATATTTTCAAATAGGTAGCAGCACTTTGGTCAGCTTTGATTATTGCTTGTGTTAATTTTTATTTATGCATACACTTTTAGCTGAAAATTATAATTTTGGACCAAAATAAATAAGTACAAGAGATTTAGGATTTACACTGGTGGAGTAAAATTTACTCGACATGAGGGGTGAGATCGAGACATTAAAAGGTGGTTTTTTAATAAAATAACCACCTTTTAGTGGCTCGATCTCACCCCTCATGTATGGAAACCACTTATTTGTTGTCAGTTGTTATATTTATTATTGTTAAAGTCATCGCTAGTTGTAGAAATAACCATAACGCATTTTCTTGTTGTAAAGTTAGGCAACGAAAAAGGTAGAGGGGAAATCTTCATTCGTTCGCGGCTGTGTCATCCAGCGACTTGACTTATTTCCGTGAGTTCCTAGGTGGAACATAAGGCCTCGACAAAATCCCGCCACCCGTCTCGATCCTCAGCAAGTGCCTTGGCCTGTATCCACGTCATCTGTCTTCTTGTTGTTAGAGGAACCTCTCATGCCGGGTTGAAATTTCCGCCACAGCCTTAGTATTTAGTATTTGTGTTGTAAATATATGTTTCTATTATATAGTATTAAAAATTTACCGCTATCAATCCGTAACCACGGTCAAAGATAAAGAAGACAACTATCAAGTATCAAGTATCTTGCTAGGTCTCTTTCTATGGTTCTCCTCCATGTTGTTTTTGGTCTACCCCGCTTTCTGTTTTCCTGCGGATTCCAGTCTAGGACCTTTCTTGCTATACAGCTCTGCGGCCTTCTCAGTGTATGTCCAATCCATCTCCACCTTCTTCTGGTAATAATCTTTTAGATTGTTTTTTGCTTATTTATCATCAAAAGATCTTCGTTTCTTATCACATATTAGGCCACCAGATTCTCAAAATGTACCACAGGCACCAATTGACATATGCTTGTAGGCTTTGCACTGCTTTGTTGTTAATCTTCCAGGTCTCACAGCCAGACAGCAAGACAGACATAGCATTAGAGTTGAACAGTCTTGATTTTGTCTGTCGCAGAATCTGCCTTGATGTCCACACAGGACGTAGTTGGGCAAACGCTCCCTCTTGGACTTCCTAATTCTGCTCTTGATGTTGATATCTATATGTCATCCAGCGAGCACATGTGTCATCTCATCACTGTGAATTCTTGGTCTTCCGGGAGTGCCGCGTCAAAGTCGCTATTTACGCTATGTACAAAACCACACATTTCACACATTCTCATTCTCTATTTCAGAATAAAGTGTTAATAATGTTACTGCCGTTCCCAGATTGAATAAAAATATAAACTGCCGTAATTGTGCTTTTTATATTGCAAACTACATATTGGCTCCTATAAAAAAATTTAAATGGCTGGTTAGTTAGTATTGATCAGACGGGCTAGAATCTTTAATCGCCTCTAACTACGCCCAATAACGTAAGCCGGTCAGTCTGAATGAGAGGGAAATGTGAAGTAGAGTGATAAGTTATGAGTACGTATGTGTGTGTACGAGTATTAAAAATGTGCACGCGAACGCCAGTTTCCTGATGCTGATTATTTCAATAGCATAAATCTACATACCCTCCCAAGGCTTGATTTACTAATAATAGTTTGTACTTTATTATGAAAAATGCCCCACACCATTCCCACGCTTTCCCGATCCACTATACGACTATTTAAAGTAAGTACATTGTAATGTTAATAGCGATATATTTAGAATAAATCTTTTTTAACTTTTTAAGCGAGATGGTCTTTTTAACACCCTTTTGCCAACTAATGTTATTTACAATCACTCCACTAACTTGATCTTTGTCTGCAGCTGAATTCTGAAGTGAATGCGTTCCACCGCAAGTTCGTGTCAGAGGTGAGAAGATGTGATGAGATGGAGCGTAAGCTTCGATACATTGAGGCTGAAGTTCTAAAGGATAAAGTCGCCATTCCTGAATCAACGACCAATGAAAACCACTCACAACTAAAATACTACCTTTGATCATTAATTTTAGCAATTGATAAGTTTAATGGTTACAGTTTAATGTTAAACAGTTTGAAAGTTTGGATAATTGGTTTGAAAAGGTATTCTTACAGTTGGAAATGTATGTAGAAAGAGAATGTTGATAGAAATCTCTACAAAATATAATACAGTTTTATAACTTGACAATTGAAATTTATTTCCTAGAAGAGCTTCCAATTAGAGTAATGAAAATGAGCGTAGATTAAGATTTATAATTCAGGTAAACAACTACAATACTAGGTAATTCAGGTCATTAATTTTCACTTTATTGATTTAAATTTAAACTTGACCATAAATTTACTAAAATATTGAAAACTAAAACAATATGTGAATCGAGAACCTCTATATCTGTAAGTTCAAAGCGGAGTCAATATTTTCATAGTCCAGTAACCAAGCTTTTGTAAATACACAAATACCATTAGCTGCTTCCAAACACATCAGCTGTTACAACCCTACTTGCAACGTTGCCACTTCGGAGGCCGCGGCCTGGAGTTAAAGGCGGCCGTGGTCCCTGCACTCCAGCTTTGCTTCGCAGGGACCTAATTTCAGAGTAGCCTATTTGATGTAAACATTATATGTAACGTTTCTTTTACTGAATAAATTGAATTGAAAGTATTCTATGATGAGTTATCCTCAGTGGCAAAGCTGAGACTTGTCCAACAGTAATTAAAAAATGTTTCAGAACAAAATTTGCTGTGAATATTATGAACCTTAATTTTAAATGAACAATGATCATAAATGTAAATTATTCATGGCACATCAATTTCGTTGGACGCACGGTTTGGGTTTCCGATATTTAAGAAAACACCCGGAAATTTTATACCCTCAAACCCCCCTTCTCTCAACTAATTGACTACATACTCGGGCTTTTGATATGTTCATCCCCCTAACTACGCCAAACAAAGTGAAATGTCAGAAATTGTGTTCAAACCGTGTTCCTATACCTTTTTTTAATTTGTTGCCTGGGGCCCATTTTATAGTAAACTACAACTTACAAGTTACAACTTGTAACTTGTAATTTCCATAAGATTTGCATTGGGCGATCAGCTGATTTACTAATAATATTAGTTTGTACTTTATTATGAAAAAGGCCCCCGGACTAAAGTGGCTGTGCCGTAGGGAAATAACTGTTCCAGGTCACTTGATGTGGCCGTCTTTTCATTTAATTTAATATATTAACCACTAACTGTTATCCTTGTCACGGCAACCGACTCGCCAAGTGTGGCCGAAGCCTTAATATATCACATATTGTTTTTTAATTTGACGTAACCTATTGCATGTATACGCCTAACGGATAATAGAGATTTTAATATTGAATTAAACGATGGCATGATTTGCTATAAATCCTATACCTAATTGGTATGAATAGGCACGAATACTAGAAAAATATTTTTCTAAAGAAAAGTATTTTTCGTTACACAGACACTTAACTCTAATGCAAACTGTTATAACAACAGTACTTTATTACTTTGTTATGTTGTCTGTAGCCTGCCTCTGTGTAGCCAATAGCAATTGTTTGCAAATGTTGTCTACAAACATTTAAGCAAATGTCGTCTGCAAACATCTAAGCAAATAAATTAGTAGAGAATAGAGATTCGATATTCATTGATTGTCTTGTCATTCATTCATTCATCATAGACATAGTAGTATAGTAAAAGTGAGGTTGATAAGACAACGGTCGTTTATAATAACTTAAGTTTGGGATTTGTGTTCTTAACTCTAGTAAAACTGATTTTCACTGATTACATTATCAACAACCTTATCTCGGAATGATATGAGAATTAGTAGAATGAGTTGCATTTTTTATGTTAATGAGAGCCTAGTGATAGACTGATAGTGTTTATTCCTTCCTGTTAATAACAACAATTTACTAAAGTTCGGGGTGATTGTGAAATCTCGTTAATTTTTATGAAACAGTCCAGGTTACTTGAGATTGATTGTTTTTTGTAAGAGGTTGTGGTTGGTTTGTGTAGAGATTCCATTTGGCCTCAAGAACTCGATAATAACAAGAGTTTTATTACGCCACCAACTTTGATTTCACATCGAAATGGCAACCAAGGTAATCTTCATTAAAGTTAAACGTTTAATATACTTAAGATAATATGCCTACATTTAAACCTTTTTTAGATTTATGCTAGCTTAGGAGATTTACGCAGGATAATACAGTGCCGTAGACCCCCTCTTAACCGACCTCACATTAAGATAACCAATAATCCGATTATCCGCCCTTGATCGTAAAATATTACAATTTGTTTTAACCGACTTTGCTTTGAGAGTTGTTCAGTTTGACCACCGTTTTCTAGGAATTTCGGTATTTCCGCTCCCACACTCGGTTATGGAAACCATACGCTTATCTCTACAGGATGTGACTAAGAATACGTTAGGCCTATTTTGTATTCATCCCAAAACATTTTGTTTCTGAAAAGCTGCGATTTATTTAATATATATGGCAATCTAGAATTTTCTTATCGCTAGAGTAAACAAACAACGCAACTTGTAGGGTGGTTAGGGGAGGGGGTTTACAACTCCAAGATCAATATAGTTTTTGTGACTCGAGCCTCCAGTGAGAGGCTATAAATAACCATCCTGTCTCGTAGCAAAATGGTTCCTTACGGTATATCTTTAATTTCGATTAAAAGTTCTGTACAGCAGACTCACTCTTATCCGGACTCCATGGGACCGAGGCCAGTTCGGATAACGGGGTTTCTGGTTAAACAGACGTCCCAAAAACTAATTAAAACTGGCCGTTTAAATGCATATTGTATACAGTATTTGACTTAAATTTAGGAGAGCATTGTATTTAGACACGTGATCACTGGTCTCAAATCTTTTCCACGATCACAGTCGTTTCAGTACCGCCCACTTCCCACTGATCAAGTCCGGTTTTAAACTGACGTGCTGATAAAACTTGTCCGGTTAAAGAGATGTCATTCCCACCGAGTGTTGTCCGGTTAAACCTATGTCCTGTTAAAAGGTGTCCAGATAAGAGGGAGTCTACTGTAGGCTTACTGTATTACGATAGATTTGAAAAGCAAAAATTAATATTACAGTACCTAACTTAGGTAAGTTATTGAAATAAGCATTTTTATTGACTCTTGCCTACAACTATTGGCCCTAATTATAATTTATTCCACTGAAAGAATTTGACATTAATGTTAGGCTAATTAGCCTACCGTGTTTTGTATTAAGCTTGTGACTTTTCTATACCGGTACATACGAAAAAAGTAAATAGGCTAATGCAAGTACTTTATACTTGAAAATAATGATTATATAATTCCAAATGAATAGCACTTATTTAGTTATGTTTTTAGGGCTTCCCCGTTTTAACCGACCATTTGAGATATCCGACCTAGGTCCGGTCCCATTAGGGTCGGTTAAGAGGGGGTCTACTGTTACTTGAGAAGAAGCAAGTTTGCCCGGGATTATTGATTTGGTGAATGGAATTGCGGGTGATGAGTTTAACTGCAGAACACTATGAAAGTTAACATAAGGAAAGCCTCTATGCTCCTTTCACACTAAGCTAGGTGTAGGCCTTAGTTATAGATTATTCCTTCCAATATTTTGCCGTAGTGTGTAGAACAGTGTGAGAGCTTTCACAGTATAGCCAGCACAATTCCAGCGGCGATAGAGAACTGTGCTGTCGTGCAGCTGTCCTCTGTTATTGAATTGGACGGTTGTCCCGCCTTGACCTTGCGCCAGTGGCCGATGTAGTGACATGCTAGCTGCAAACTGCACGGTATTCAGTCCTGTAGATAAAATTTAACGCAAATAAAGAAGTGCACTGTCACAGCACTAGAAGCAAAACCAAAATTAATAACGTATTCAGTTATTATTATTAGGCTACCAATTGAGATAAGAGACGCCACCTAGGTGCGTATTTTAACCTAAATATGAGTGTAGAATGAAATGACACATTGTGATGATCCGTGTAGCTTTGTTACTGATTAAGATCAGCTGTTTCATTAGTCAGGATTAATTATGAGGTTTTCACTGATGTCACGAACATAAAAAAGCGATATTCCAACTTATATATAGGCTTATATATAGCTTATATAGGCCTATACCTAAGTCGCTTCAAGATTTTCTAGAATAAGTTGTTCAAAAACTATTGACTTGCAAGCAATCTAATGGACCTAATATAATAATCAAACAGTTCAACTGCCATTATAAATTAAACCTTTAAGTTACCTTAACTTATTAAAACAATGTGTTTTTTTTTTCAGATTGAATTCGCAGTAAACATGACCTGTGAGTCATGTGTTAACAAATTGAAAAACTCCTTAGGCTCTGTCAGTGGCATAAGCCATTTTGACATAAATCTAGAGCAGAAAACTGTTGTTGTTGAAACGACCCTGCCTTCAAGTGTTGTTCAGTCTCATCTAGAAACGACAGGCCTGAGAGCTGTACTCAAAGGTTATGGTTCTCAACTAGGTAAATATTAGTACATATGCCGTTTCCTCTTACCTACCGAATTACTTTCTTTGGTTTGTAACCCTCATTCTAGTCTCTGTTCCTTAGTTCAGCTTGCCTTAGGTATCGAAAGAGTTACTGGTAAGCTTACAAAAGTATTCCTCCCTAAGGTGTCATGAATACAGAGGATTTCACATTCTTTAGATACTTGCATTTATTAGCCTATTGTGAAGAGCAATTGAGAGCTAGAAAACAAATAGGCTAGGTCTAGATCTTCAATCTTGTAATATAACTTTTATCCCCAGATCCCAGCAGACAACATGCAGCTGTTGCGATGCTGGGTGGCGACACTGGCTACAGCTATGGCAGTGCCAAAGGCGTTGTCCGACTAGTGCAGCTTGACAATGACCACTGTCTGATTGACGGCACCATCGACGGATTGCCACCAGGGCGACACGGTCTGCACATACACGAGTGTGGCGACATCTCACAAGGCTGTCAGAGGTAAAGCTTAAGAAGTATAGAAGTATTGGTGTATTGGTGCCTTAAGGCATTTCATAATGGAGTTTAGTTTACCCAATAGCTTCCTGTGAATTGGTGTTCCAAGTTTCAAGACATGTTGTCATCTACCAAGACTAACTGGTTGAGCACTGTTTGGTTGGGCCTTCACTTGTTTCAAAATTATCTGCTGCTTGATTGACGATACACCTAATATCTTATTTCATGACGTCAACTTTCCTTTTTTTAGTGAATTCCCATATAAGGAAGAAGCTATTATCGTAGGTCTCATGGTAAGACTAGGACCTGAGACTGATATACTTTTTTGTTTTGATATATGTATAGATATATGTATCACAATAACTAGCAAAAATCATCCGGTTTTGATTAAATTTAGCACAAACTTGTAAACCTACTTTTATTGGACTGTGGTAACAAGGACTTATGAGGCGTTTTATGGGGTAAAAATTGGATTTCCCCATTTTTGACCCTAAAAACATAACATTTTGCAACTTCTTTCTAACTATTTTGTAGAGCTTAAAAAACAAACAACTTAATTTATTGAACTCTTTTTGCATAGGCCTAGTTATTGGGTACTATACACACATACATACGGATAAAATAATGATAAAATTGAAAAATTTGAAATTTAACATTTTTGTTATTTTTATGGATATTAAGTAAATAAACTAAAACTCTTATAGTTTGCTTGTTTATGGATTTTATCCTACTTGGCAAATTTTTTATCTGATACTAAGGAAAGCTATTAATACTTTACAGAAAAAACATATTTTATTACCTCCCTATAGCAGCAAACCTTGGTACTTGTTTATCCTAATGTTATTTAAACAGATTTAAAAAGTGAAAATCAAATCAGCTAAATATAAATTCCGTAGTCTGCAGGTTTGCTGTGGTGGAGGTGTTTTACCTTACTCTAGCCTAGGATTGTTTTTTACATTAGTTCAGGCTATGCCTAGTAGAGGTTGCGGCATAATGACTAAAATAAAATCCATTGTTGATTGCAGAAATTTGAATCTGGGACTTGGGGGACCGACCATCTTTATAGCCTAAATCTATATGAGTTTATTATTTTGAAGTGATATTTTAGTAGTAAGTATTCTTTTAGTTGATTGGGTAACTGTAAGAAAGACAAAGGGGTCCTGATGTTTGCATCACATGCTAATGTGGAACCTTATACCATTGACTATTGGATACAGTTGTTGTATTAATAGTCAAAGCTAATACTTTCAATTTTGTGTTATAGCACTGGAGAACATTTCAGTTTGTTCAACACAAGACATGGTGGGCCCGACGACGATCCACAAAACAGGGTAGGGAATTATTGTTAAGCCTTTATAAATAAGTCACCAAACAATCGTACACTAATAACCACCAGACCTATCCTGGTTCTCTACTCTCCTATGAAGTTGTCGCTGACTTTTCAAATCAGGCCTCGTCCTCACTTACCAATAATTAAGTCCAGAGTCCCTAAAACAATGTGAGTGATACAGTAACATTAAACAATTATAATCTCAACACACGTTATCACCAGGCAGGATCTACTCAGTCACCAAAATCCAATGCACTAATCTAATATGTCCAGCTAGCAATCTAACAGTAGTTTACTGGAAACACAATTATTCAAGGAAAAATCAAAAAAACTCAATCTGTAACTAAACACTTAGCAGCCGGTCTCTACAACTCACACTAAGCTAACACCATCTGCCACTTTTGCTATTAATAAATTATTAGGTGAAACCCGTCACAATTGACGGTTACTGTGGAGGTTTCAAGCAAAATCATTTAACTATCGATGAAAAATAACTCAATTTTTGGAACAATTTGGGTTGTTTGTGATTCAGCAGCTTGCTTTAAGCAAGTCCAATCTTAGTAATCAATTACTATAAACAAGTCTGGCATTTCACTGAAGGTTCTTTGATAAAAACATATAGGACAGCGTAATTAGAATTGTGTAAATATATCTAAAATTAATTTCTATATCTGAGAAATAATCAAATTGTCTTTTGTTTTGATTGAGTAATACAGTATCGTGAACTAAACTGATTCACACGATCAATATCTCAAATGAAAGCCTTTATTTATAGGAGGATTTTAAGACCAAGACATATAAAACTAAAAATAAATAAAAATTGAGTTACGTGTCATTGATTGCAGATAAGTCCTAAAATAATAAAAGTACTACACATGTAAACTACTAAGTGATAGTTTGTACTATTCTAACCAAGCTTCTGAGATAAAGTATCAGAACCACAAACAGGTCGATCGATCATAAAATTATTAACTAATTTTATTAGTTAAGTTGTTTATTAAGTTAAGTTATTTACAATTAACCTGCTATTAGCTTCTATTTTGTAGGCTATTCAGGGCTAAATACTAGCCCACTGGACACTTGCAGTCAACTACACACACTGGATCATGTAGCCTAGGTTTGTAGGGCCTCAGAGGTATCAGTAAAATAATCGGCTCGTAATCACAGATTACACCTAAAATTATCCTATTAAGTGGTGTATTTGCGAACTTCATCAATATTCCAATAATTAAGTAATTTTTGGAATGATTATCAACTTAAGGGAATTGGTACTTACCTAAGTGTACTGGAATTAGAGTAAACTGGAGTGGAACCATTACTAACCATGTAAACAAATAAATACCTATGTATAATGTATAGAGAAAAAAGAAGGGTCTTGTACTTTTTATCTTATTTTGTGAGGTTAACAGTTTTAGCTGAATGGGAAAGAGTCCAGTCTAGTACAAAAACACATACTTAACACAATTCACAAAACATCACAATACTTCACTGTCACTGACAGCATTTCCAATTATAAGCAAGGTATGAGTTGAAGAGAAAGTTCAGCTACCCACTACAATAAATAGTTTTTCTTTTTCAACTATTTTTTAGTATTTAATTAGTTCCTAATACTTTCATTTGCTGAACCCCATATCGTGGATTTTTGCAGCACACAGGAGATTTGGGCAACATAGAGGCTGACCAGAGTGGGCGAGCTGTGTTCAGACTGGTGGACAAAGTGTTGAAAGTGTGGGATGTAGTGGGCCGAGCTGTGGTAGTGACTCAGGGCGAGGACGACCTGGGACGTGGCGGACACCCGCAGTCACTGAGAGATGGAAACTCTGGCAACAAGTGAGTAGGCGGTGAAAACTACACAATCTTCTGATCACTTGCTTCTGATTATAAACAAAGAATACAATTTGCAAATCACAACTGTCACAAAGCTTTGTGATAACACTATGACCCGTTGGTTCATTGCCTGAATTTTGAGGTCTTCCTATCAATTGATAAGAGTTAAGTCTCTTAGGTGAGGAAAACAATATCATTGGCTATCTTAGTAATCCTGATAGTTAGACCAATTCGTTAAAACCAAGGAAAAAATGTGGTTCGGATTCCACTATAAACTGTAGGTCCATTAGTTGCCATTAGCTGTATGGGCTATTGCTATTAATTAACAGCTGTGTCTAAGGCATATGTCGGCCTTAGTCACTAACAAGGCTACAAGATCGCGCCACTCATCTCCATTCATATTTGGCTTAAAATACCTACTTTGTATGGTCGCCATTTCAATGAAAAGTATTAAAGTATTAAGTATAAAGTATAATCAGAAGATTGCCAATTCGATCCTGAAAAAAGTGATTGGCTGATTGTTCAAAAATGGGGCCAGCTGCCCTTGATCATTGGGATTTTAATTAATAGCCCTTTTTAAAGTATTAGCTAATCTCGTACAAAGCTACACAAGGAATCTCACTCATTTCTATACGTCTTCCTTCGCTTATAATTGGGTTCAATTAGACCAAGTACCTCTAATTTAGAGTTCTTCCTCCATGAAATCTGTGTCTTCCGTGTATTCTATGGCATACCTGTACTTCTTCTAAGGTAAGCTAGCTGCCATCCCTTTATTCTACAAATAAAAATCCTCACCTAAAGCCATTTCTTACAAAAAACAGACACTAGTTTAGTTCAGTAGACAGGTATATGGTTCAGTAAACTGAAGGTATAGGATGTATTGCAAAGGATTCATCCTGGAAACAAATGGGGTACCCTTGTCTAAACCTTGCAAAGGTAAAAGTGTCAAGTCTTCACCATAGACTAATCAACATTAACACCCTAGGTTTCAAGGATTTTGGCTTACAGTACCAGAATAGGAAAAACTCCACTCTAGTACAAGAATCACAATTACAACACTTGATTTTTAAAACACAGATTGATTTTTTGTACACAGACTACACTGTCACTGAAAGCAAACTCAACCTGTCCATGGTTGAAATATCCTTAACACTAATACCGAAACCCCGGTCTGACAGGCCCACGGGAATTTTCAAAAAACGCATGTTGGCAACACTGTTTACTTGAGAGATTCCATTCCCCCAATACCTTCCCCCCTTTTCCTCCCCTACCTATTGATATATTATTTGTTCATTTTGCTTGGGTGCCGTGACCTTGACAGGTTGTCTAGTTCATAACATGCCTGTCTCAGAAGCCCATCGTTAGTGTATTTTAAAGCGGGGTCTCACAGGCCGAGGGTTTCGGTTTGTGTGTGTCTAAGCGGGGTCCATTATTTTTCAAATGGGGTCTCACAGACTGGGGATTTTGGTTAACGTCAGCCTAGGTAGGGTTTCGGTATTACTGTTAGAACCTAGACGTTTTTTACATTGTTGACATTGTTTCAGGATATCCTGTGGCATCATCTCTCGGTCAGCTGGTGTGTTTGAGAACCAGAAGCAGATCTGCGCCTGTGATGGCGTGACTATCTGGGACGAGAGGGATCGCCCCGTGGTCGGCCCCGGTCGCAGACTCACGCAGAGTTCTCTCTGCACGTACATTTGACACGTGGTAGACTTCATGTTTTTCCTCATCTTCATCCTCATACTATTTCTTCTCTACATCTTCACCATCATGTTCATCTTGGTACTGATCTACTTTTACTCGGAGTTCACAAAGCCGAGGATCGAAGAGCCGCTGTTGCTTCCAAAGCTGAAAACCGTAGAAGTAGGATGATGGTAGTGGGACATGGGTGCATGCAGCTGTTTTACTGTAGTGAAGCAATTCTATTAGTTGTTAATTGCCTTCAGTGATTATTTTGTGATGTAGAAATATTTTATACCGTTATTTTGTATAGTTAGTATAATATGCTATTTTTAAATTGTATTAATTTTCTCTCTGAAATGAATAGTTGAGGCTGTAGCTGCTAAAGGGGCCTAAGTCGAGATGGGCCCTTATAGATGAGATTCGCTATTTCGCTTCTTTATGTCTTCTAGTATAATCTTTGATCACTTGGAATGGTGTATTTCAGTTTGGTTGGTATAACTCTGAAAGCCAGCTGGTGTCACTAGGCCCTTTTAGCATGGACCAGTGCCAATGCTGACAGCAGCCAAACATAACCTAACATAGGCCTTTTGTGTCAAACTTTAGGACGGGCCCTTTGAGAGGAGAATCGCTATTTTGCTTCCTTGTTTCTTCAAGTATAATCTTTGATAATTAGGAATGGTGTATTAGTATTTTAGTTCTTTGTGTTCGTATGACTCTTCAAGTCAGCTGGTGTCACCAGGCCCTTTAAGCATGGACCACTGCCATGCCAATGCAGACAGCCAGACATAACCTCTAAACTTTAACAGCGATTATCTCAAAACATCAGTTTTCGGCCCGTTTAGAAGCTACATCCTCAATTACATAGAAATCAAATATTGGTCTTTGATCATTAGTTGAATTGGCAAAACATACTGGTGACCATTATAAATCCATATTGTAGCAAGTAACTTATCCAAAACATCAGCCAGTAATTTAGCCCAATTCAACAATATGACTGATAATAATAGACCATGATTTGACATTATTTTCCCATGGTAGCCTACCCACATTCTAGCTAAAGATCAAAGTCCTTCTAACTTCCTATATTTTCAAAGCATACCTAGTTATAGTTGGACTAATAAAATAGTAGATTACTTACTGTATCTTTTTTATTGTATTAGCTTGCCTGTAGCCTGTATGTTTAGCCTTCCAAATATAGCAACAAGCCCACATTTTGTTTGTGAACACAGATTATAATTGATATTAATTGATCTCTCGTAAATAGGTTTTGCTTATGAGGCATTTAAAATTGTCAAAATTATGCTGATGCCTGGGTTTAAATTTTACAATGTAGATAGTAAGTTTACTGTTTGTTAGGCCTAAATCCCAGCAAAATAATTTCATAAACAAATTCAGTATTAAGATAAACTTAGTATGGAAAAGGCAAGATGAATATGTCGTTGACAATAATGTATCTTATTTAGTATCCAATGTAATACTAACACTCTAAACCTCGTGGTAAACATATATTACACTTATACAGGGGCATTTATATGGTCTCTAAATAACCTTCTAATACAACTTTTTATTTCCAAGATTGTTATGTTGGATGTTTTTTTTTTTAGATATTCTTACAACAGCCTTAAGGTTTAACCAAATTTATTCCTTAAATTAGGAGCCAATGATTGTAGTTTATTATGTTACTATTCCGGTAAACTAAACACAATTATTTTGGATGAGTGACGTACTGTATTTTTTGCCATACTACTTCAAACTAACCTAGTGATAAAAAAAACTGTACAAATCTGTTTTATATTCCCACTAACTAAACGACTAACAATCACTATTCATAACCTCTAAGAGAGGTTATGTTCTTGTTTATAACCACTCATTGCCAAATATTATCAATTGGTGTCCCGTTAAAACTCATTACCCTACTATAGAACGTAATGAAACATATTTGATTAAGCAGGCTGTTTTCTGGACCAAATCCTTGTGTGGGAAGTTGTCAAAACAGTATAGTGTGGCGAAAATATATATTTTTAGGACCAGCTATTCCTTTTTTTTGCTTTTCAAACTATACTATTTCCTTGCATGTACAATTACTTCAACTAATGTTGCAAGGAAATTTTTTTTAAATATTATTAACAAACATAAAAAATATCTTGAGATTAACATTAAAAGTGGCATTGGTTTGATTAATTATTGGAATGTTTGTTTACACAGACGATATACTTGAACATATAAATTAGTAGAAACTAATTTTTTGTCATACTGCAGCAAAGACAGCCGTTTTTATTACATATTGTGTTGCGAGTCATAAGTAGCTCTTTTATTCCCTAGAGAGAAAAAGGCGTTTTTAGTCCCTAGGGAGTAAAAATCAGCTGTTTCAAACTTCGATTGTAAGCAATTGCACGTACCAAAATTATTTATCGATTGATATAATCGTATGTAGCTTATTGTTGCATTATTGTCAACAGTTCGACATATTGAGAATAATCTCGTACAGTAAGAATCAAAAACAAGTTGGAAGTCGTTACAAGAACAGGATTTTTGTTTTCTAACTTAGTTTTTGAAATAATGCTGCAATATGACAAAAAATATAGTTCATCACAGGCAAAAAGTGTCTTTTCAACCCTCGCTCATTTTCTACTTTGTATACTTGAGCTCAGGTCGAAAACAGTCACTTATAATGGAATATACTATTACCAACACTTCTAGGTAACTTAATAATTTTTTTTTGTTAAAGTTGTTTTGCTATAGTTTTATTTTAAAAAGTAACTGAAATAAACTTTCATGATAGTGAAACAGCTCTTATTCGTATTTGGCAAGTATACTTATTTGTAGCTATAGTTGTGAATAGTGTTTAACTAGCCATATAGCTAATGAACTTTAAGACAACATTTTATTTCTCAATGTGGGTTAATACGCTCATAGTGGCGTCCCCATCTTAAATAATTGATAATTGAAGAATCAAATTGTAGCAGATGATCTTATTTTAAAACAAAACTTTACTTATTAATGTATGTACAGTCTTCTAAAGCATGTCCAGTACAAATATCTTTCCAGTTATCTTATTTCTTATGATTATATGTACTGATAGGCTGTTAAATGTTATGTAGGAATAATGGTATGTTCGATGGTGTTTGTTAAACAATGTATTTTTATTTGCTTTAAGGTTGATTTTTTTGTCTACTTTGATGTGAAAGTTCTATTAATTTTTGTACATTTATAAATACATGAAATCAATAAATATTTTCCAAGCTATTTCTGTGTTTGTTATAGAAGGTATGTATAGGGCTATTTAGTATATTGAATTTTAACCCAATTTTAACTGGTTAAGAATATCTGGGAAAAAGAAAATCTATGATGAGCATAATCTAGACTTAAATTTGAAGGAAAAGTTTCTGGAGATTGTGAGAGTTTGTTGCATTAAATATGAGGAAAAAATATAGAGTTTAATTGAAAATGACAATTTCTCCATGGAATTCTAAAGGTTATCCAATCCTTTCATTTGATATATTCCCTGTTAGGTGTGTAGCCAGGCAGATACGAGGTTACAATGGCTGGTTCTATTAAGTTTAAGAAAAGTGGAGAGAAAAATCATGATTCCAAAGAAAATGTTTGAAATGCAGGTTAATCATTATATTGTAGGTTTAATTGTAAGATAACACGGGTTGGGTTTATTCTGAGGAAAATAACTGACACAAACCTCAATAATCTTGACAAGACTAGATTTATTTTTACAGACAATGATAATAATGGACAACAAGTAATTTATTACTGCACAAACGTGCAAACTTTACAGATGAATCTTTCAAAGATCGATTAACATATTTACAGATCAAATATTCATTTAAGACTATTTTAAAATTGTTCCGGTAAAATAATATTTTACACGACACACGTTTAAAGTAAAATTACGATACTTGTAGGTTGTAGCTACTTACGGTCGACTTCGCGTCTCGTCTACTAAATATTGTGCCTTGTATTAGGTGTGCATATGGAACCGACTCTAGGTTGGAATGGCAATTTATTTAACAACCTCGATACTTCAACATACACGATACAGGTAGCGATACAACATTCAAACTAAAACTAAATCATGCCCCCTAAACACCAATACAAGACTAAACGACAAATCAGGGAAAATAAATGTACCTTAAGCTTCATATTTGAATTACAGTTTTCTCTAGGCTATAACTAATATATGAGTAGGCTTAAGATTTTAAATTATTTAAGTTTAATACTGATAAAGAGTATTGTGTTTAAAAATACGTAAATGAGATTCCATTAATCGTATTCGTAACTTAAAAACATGTAGGATAATAAATGCTACCAGGAGACATTCCATTTGGAAAAAAACACAAAATATTACATAATAAACTATATCAACCAAGGTAATGTGAATTGTTTTACAGATCTAAAAACATTTAAACCCATTTTATCCACTAGCTTTGAACATTTCTGTAAATTACATGTTTTCACCTTTTGGTTTTGGAGAAAAAGAAAATATGTATTGACAATGGACATGGTAACTTAGTCGCAATTTTGACATAAAAAGAGACCAAACTTTTTAAAAATCAACTGCAAAATGATAAAGCTATAACTAACAAACCAACTTAAAAATTTAAACCAATGAAAAAAATAATTCAATATCTGCAAGAGTAAAACTTATAAAAATTATACTTTAAAACTGAAGTTTGGCAAAATAGTTTCTAAAAAGTAATGGAATACTTTAAAAAGTCAAAATTATTTAAAACATAACATTTACACTAATCACATAGCTACCTTTTTTCAATACTAGTACTTTGCTACAAAATTACAAATTACCTAAGGTCATCAATAAAAAAAACTACAATTCCAAACAAAACTTGAAAGCTAAATGTTCAGGTTATCTGATCAGTTTTACTCAAATAAATAAAATGTTTCCCCCTATAAAAGTTTTCAAATTATATAACTTTTATGATTTGCTGCAGTCCCAGAAACCGTTTAAAGGCCCGTCCAAACCGAAGCGGGAAAGCGGCGGGAGCGGGAAGGTGGCGGGACGAATTCCCGCGAGGGATTTTAAAACACATGGTGTTAGATGTGAGCACCCACACTAGAGCGGTACCGCTCCCGCCGTCCCGCAGCGTTGTTCGATTGTCCCGCCGGCTTGAAACATGATGGATTTTCCCGCTCGTACCGCCGCGGGAACACATTGGTACATGGCTCATGATGTTAAGAGTTGTTATTTTTAGCCACCTCACCATAAAATTATTGAAATTTAAAGTAGTTTTTGGATAGTAGATAACCCCCTTTGAAACTGCCTTTCGTCTTTCCTTAGATTCTGCATAAGGGTATGGTGGTATTTCGCCAAATAAATGTCTATTTAAATTAATTTCATGAACCCAAACAGATCGCCGTCTTGCAGCTTCATCTTCATCCTCAGCTGTTGCTAGCAAGAGAAAAGCTTCTTCCTTTACATTACGATTCATGAAATGAACGCATAAAACACAAACATTCACTTAACACAGCCACTCTGTAACTAAGATGAAAATGAACGGAGGAGTCGTCCCGCTTCCCGCTGTCTGCAGCTTCGGTGTGGGCTACCCCCTTCCCGCTCCTGCCACTTTCCCGCTTCGGTTTGGACGAGCCTTAAAATAAATAGGAACTTTGGCATTACACAGAGATAACCAATGTATGTTCAATCAATTAAAATAAACAGTTTATTGAAAATGTTGTGTAGATTTAAAACAAAACAATTTTTGCCGATTAAAAACTACTTAGACCAACTAGTTGATCTTATTTTTAATATGTTTGTGATTTCCAAGTGTATTCAACCGATCGGATAACCAGACTTCTTAGAAACAACAAAAAGTTGTAGAAACAGTAGACAGGTTGGCGCGTTGAGATAAAGAAATATATTCCCATTGCCAACATAGAGGGTTTGGGCGACAGCAAGGCAGGTTACCCGCATAGAGTAGGACTTGATCACGATAGGAGACAGCAATGGACATAGAGTCAACGATGAGATAAACGTACTGATGATCAGAAGTGTAGAGCTCAATAGACAATTCAGTAAGAGAAAGGATGACTTTTGAGTCTCCACATTTGGTTTTGTAGTGCTACTGAGGTAACTAATTCTGTTGAAATAAGAATTCTTTCTGGTTCACTTTGCATTCTTAATAATAGTTGAATACTAGTTAAGAAAATGTGGCAGTAAATTTCTGATACAGGACATAGTTAATAAAGTTTTTAACACGTTCGCTGCTGAGCGGTCGAAATCGGCCGGTGCCGGCTGTGCGGTCATAATCGGCCCATTGACGCGGACCGTTATAATCGTTGCCAGCCTGTAGCTTAGAATGTGAGCTTTACTTTGGTGTAGGTTGGTACTAAAATTTCCTGTAAAATCCCATCTGGCAATGCTTTTGTCCCGGTTTCGGGGATTTTCTCTCTTTGAGCGACATTACAAAGACACTGGCTACGGATCCAATCAGTGCTGCTACCCTTAGGTGTTTCAGTGAACTACTGCTTCACCCCTGCTCTTTTGTAATTCGTCAGACTGAAATATTTGAATGCCAATTGCGTTCGCTGATGGGCCTCGCCGCCATGGGCGAGCGCCTGTTTGATGTATACCGCAGTGAACGTGTTAAACAGTGAATGAAAGTACAAGATGAAAACGAACAGTCATGTTAATGAAACATAAATTATCTGAAGCTACAGTATATTTAAGTTAAAGTAGATAATAGTGTTGAACTAATTAGAAATTACAATAGGAAAAAAATTTGCAACATAAACAATTTACGTAAAAACAAAAATAAAAATCACAGCAAAATGTATTTATTCCACTATGTATTAATTTGTGCTGGACAATTTCATCTTGCATGACCGTTTGTGCATTGTCAAAATATATGTTTGAGCTCTAAAATTCCTCAAAGCTAAACTAACTATTTACACATAGATCTAAAGGGTTACTCGTACCACTAGAACAGATGGTGGGAAATCTTTGGCGAAACTTTTGGCATTCCTGGTTGTACTCAAAATAAAAATCTCAAAACCTCTGTACAACGTTAAAAAAAATATGTAGGTATTCCATTGAGAAATACATTATAATGAATATTCATCCTAAAAATAAATTAAAAAATATAAAATAAAGATTATATTACTACTTTATAGGTTAGTTTATATTCACAAGGTGATTTTACTCAGGCAGTTGATCACTTCTGGCAATTACTTAACAATTAAGATCTTACTTCCAAGAGTACAACCAGTCAAAGAAAATTATACCTTTATAAAACAACCATTATCTACAGTCTATTATTTACAATTTTAATTACCTCTCTTGGGTTAAGATTATTCGTTAAAAATATCACATTTATTAATATCTAATGGTAGATGAAATCTTCAACAGGGCTCTCACTATAAAAAGTACAGTTTGAATGTAATGTAATACGAATAAATACAAAAATAAAGACTTAAATATACTAAAGAAACCCCAAATTATTAAGTACTTAAAATAAAATACACCAAAATAATTTACACTATAAACTAAAGCAATAAGTAATACTTCTAAATACAATTTTGTCTTGTTTGTAAAATGCATATTTACACAATTTACCAAATTTTTATTTCTAGAACAAATTAATAGAATGATTTGGTAAAATTATGTCTTGGTTCTTCTAAAAGATACAAGTAATTACTTTTATAACAAAGTAACAACCATAAAATCTATATTAAAAATAGACAATATGGCATTTACTGTCATTTTACAGTAAATACCGTTTGTAGTCACTTTTACAAGCCTGACCATATATGTAACAGAGCAAATCCACAAACTGGATGCGAACATAAAAGCAAGGTTCATTTAGTATGAGAACCTTTACAAACAAACCATTATAATAAATCAGGGAGCTGATAAAATTATGACACAACCTTGTCTAACCGCAGCCCAATCTGAAGGCTTCCAACTAACAATCCCATTTAACAAATGACATCAGTGCCCTCCCCTCCCTACATTCTAAATTCACACACAGATTAAATGATTTCTTAACATTCACCCACAATTTAGTATCCAAATGAAAGAATAACAAATTAAAGATATAGTCTTAAGTAAAAACAGAACCGATGATGGATCCAACTGTTACATACTAGGTCTGGCAGTGACGGTGAAAAACTCCATACAAAATATAAGTGCCAGATTGTCATTGGATATAAAAATGTTGGTTTAGGTAAATGCGGATGTTGGTGCAGACGTGTCTACGAGGTGGCAGTATCCTTCCGAGTGGAGAACGAAACTATGGATCGGATACCCTTCATCGACGTCTACAACAGATTGAAAACATGTGTTAAACAGTTGAACAAACTATATGATTGTAGTAGCTTTCACAGCGTTTTGCAAAGATGTATGAACCTGATATTATTCAAATAACCCAAAGAGAAACACTTGGTATCACTATTGATCATAGAGTTTTACATATTTTCTACGATGAATGACATAACTTCATAGAACAAATTCACTTAGAAGTTTTACAAAATGTTTCTTTTGAATTTGTGCCTTGTCTGACAATGGAAAACAAAAAGCATTTAAAAAGTCATTACAAAGCAAATGTAATGTTCCTAATGTTACAGAAAACGACATACTATTCACTAGCTTAACACCGTAACTTTGGAAGCCTGGGGTAGAGCCCTAAGTATGTTGCAATTCGATAGAAACCTTCTGAGGTATGAAAAAAAAACATTCAAAGATTTCACAGCGATTTGATGGCAGTTTTGAAATGCAAAAAGGACATACAAACGTACATTTGATTTTGTAAAATATGTAGGTAGGCTAGATAATTTATTTAATGATGATAAATCACGTTACTTATAAAATCTATAGCAAAATTGTGTAGTTTCAAAGAATTTACATGAATACATTTTTTGTTATTTTTCTCCTTCATAAAAAAAAAAATAATTTATTTTCTTCCCCAAACTGAAAATAGGTAAAACATCTCTTTCGAAAAACGTCTTAGTAAAAATTAAAATGTATGTATAACCTCCTGTTAAAAACAAAGGAAGTATCCAGTAGTCTAGTTACTGTATGATTTTGATTTATAATAGCAGATAAATCTCTAATCAATACTTAAAAAAAAAATAAAACTACCTACAGTTTAGTTTTGAAGATATGGATTGAGAGTAATTATCTACAATACAATAAAAAAAAGAGTGTGGTAAGCAACATATGTAAAAAGTAAAGACGGTGGAAGTGAAATCCAACAACAAAATCTTGTGTAAAAAACACAGCTGATAAAAAACAAATAGATTGAAAATGCAGTGTGAAAATGTGTTGAAAAGTGTGGAAAAAATATTAAAAACTGGTGCCTGGCAAATTACATTGTTTTAATGAGGAAAAACCAAAACCGATATAACCCTTTTTTATTCTTAAAACATTGATTTCTCGTTAAATTTTATGTTGATTTGACAACCATCCTAAACAAAAACATCGTGAAAGAATGATTTTTAATTGTTTAGATATGCACCACTCCATAGAGAATACTAGAAAAATATTCTTGCAGAAAAAGATGTTGTTATAAATACACAGGGTAACAAAAAAAACCGGACATTTTAAAAATATGCATTACTTGATCATTTTTGTGTCAATTATAACCATTGTTACATTAAAATGTTTGTAAACTCTTCTCATTTAAGAAATAAACTATAAAATATAATATCTAATCTAGTCTTAGGGAGTTATTAAATCCCTAGGGAGTAAAAAATCAGCTATTGTAAGTAATAGTTGTCAATAGTTCGACATATCAATGGTAGGCTATAATGTTCAGTGACACAATAATAGACAAAAACTTACTAAACGGTTGCTTATTCACTTTAGCAGAATTGAAAACAAGCTGGAAGTAGTTTTGGGAGGTTATCTTTAAATGAAAAGTATTTTTTTTCTAGCTTAGTTTGTTAAATAATTATGCAAAATGACAAAAAAAATATACTTCATCACACGGGCAAAAAGTGTTTTTTCAACCCTCACTCATTTTCTAAAAATTGAGCTTGGGTCGAAAAGAGTCACTTTATGCCCTAGTGATAAAATATACTATTTGTTGATGGTAAACAAAACTATGGCTGTTATCTGTCACCATTGTTGCATCAGTGCTGAGCTATATTAATGTTTGTTTGTTTGGTTATTAAAGGCCCAAATATCATTTCATTGGTATTTGTTATATAGTAGGTACACCGTTAGTATTCAGGACGGTAATTATTTAAATGGTAGGCACCAGCTGTACACCTAGAAGTAAGTGTGGTGTGGTGTGGTGTGCATCATGCCAACACAAACATCACCTCTCCCCCTCCTTACCTCTCTCCTGCCTGGCTTAGTACTTGGTTCTCCTCTTCTACAAGGAACCAATACAATCACATCAACCAACGTAACAGTTAAGGTGAACGTATAATAAGTATTTGTATATCGCATGTTGTGAACAAGTTGACAATATTTCTTTGGTTATACCACCAAAATATGGATGGGAAAAGCTAGAGTTGGCCTTTTGGAAACATGTACTACAATATTTACCAACTGTTTCTAACTCGTACTTGGATCATGCCAAAGAATAATATTTTTTTATAGTTAAAGCAGTAAAATTAGAATAAATGTTTTTTTATTTTAAAAATTTCTTATGATTTTTAACTATTAGTGGAGAATCAGTCAAAGCCATTTGAAATTAAAATGTTGGAAGATTCACTTCACTAACCGTTTCAACATTTATCACCAAAAAATGTTTGACAAGAAGCTAAAACATTAGACCTCAGGGCCTACTCTCCAAGAGAGTACAACAAAAACAATACTTTATCCAAATAAAGTATTGTTTTTGTTTCTGAAAGAAAAAACTTCCATCAATTAACTATGCCAAGAAATCAATGAAACAAAAAGTGTTCATATTGAATACAGACATCGTAATATGATTACTTAGAAGATTAAAACAAATTAAACACTGGATGATTTAAAATAGAGTTTTCCATTAGGGGAAATAAGTTGACAGAAAAGATATACAATTTTTTTTTGCCACAATTAAAACAAACTGATTTAGGTATTATTATATTATCAAAATTATATTTTTGCACAATATTGTAGGAGGCTATCTGTGTTTAAAAATTCACTTAGGCCTAACATGTTTTAATCATTTTAGTAAAATTTTATTTCATGAAGATTGAATTTACTTACCTTCTTTTTCGATCCATTAAGGAAATCTTTATACATTTCTGATCGCAAATATCTGGAATAACTATCACTCTTCATCAGGTGGTACACATGAGCCTGAAACAGAAAGTTGTTTTTAAGGATTGTGGGTTCCATTTGCTATACTAATCTAGGAGAGCCACAAAACTTGCTTTAATTAAATTTTTTTTATTTTTTTATTTATGGAAAACCGAAAGTAAAAGCGCTTAAAAACGGTATAATATGTTTAATAAACTGACAATCTCACTGTGTGTAATAACTGTTGGAAGTCTTGATTTTGCATGTAAATACTAACGAGAAGTTTGTTCAAAAATATCCTCAAAATCTTCACACTACAACAAAGAACTTGTATAAGAATGTTTGTGGTGACAAAATGAATAACTTAAACACGATCCTAACCTGTTTTCATATGCAACTGTAAACTAAGTGTTATCAGTACACTAGAAGAACCAGCATTCATAAAATTTCTACAACCAAGACATCTATAATTTCCTACGGTGCAAAGTAAAAGCTATGACTGGACTTAACAGTCAACAGTCTATGTAACACCAGTTAGAATATAGAGAGGAATTGACAATGACATGTTCAAAAATCCTTTTGTATGGATTTAAAAAATATTCCTGTCATTTTCTAGGAACGGCTCATATTCTTCAACTGGACTGTTTTACCTAAGGTAATCATACTGAACTCTATTTAATTCCAAACAAATTTCAGTACATACACTTGACAAAGACCGAACCCCTCTTAAAAAAAAAAAAAAAAAAAACCTAAACCATAAGAGTTAATGGAGCTCACCGCAGCAGTATCAAACGTCCAGCGGTCGGGCTGCGCCATGTTACGCTTGGTGATCTCGTGTGAGTGAGAGTCTACATTGATGGGACAGCTGGCGTCTGATGCTAGGTACTCGGTCCATATCTCTGTCACTCTCTGCGCTACGTCCTTCTGTGGCAGAGCCTTCAACTCCTGCACTGCCTCCCAAAATCTGTGGCAAGAAACAAACATGTGATCTAGTAATGGAATAGCTTAAATATGGGACTGGGACAGTGGTGTCGTCCTGTAATCCAACTACTAGGAGGTCACGAATAGTGGATATTTATAGGCATGTACTGTGGATGCGATACTCCCTGGTGTGGATTAACGTCCGCACTAGAGAGTACTACAACTATCCGCAGTACTATCCTGATAATTAGATTAATTCGTTAATACCAAGGCAAGAATGTGTTTTGGATTCCACGATAAGCTGTAGGTCCCTTAGTTGCCATTAGCTGTATGGGCTATTAATTAACAGCTGTGTCTAAGGAATATGTCGGCCTTAGTCACTAACAAGAATACAAGATCGTGCCACTCTACCTACACTCTTCTCCATTCATTTTTGGCTTAAAATACCCTACTCTGTGTGGTCACCATTTCAATGAAAAGTATTAGAAAGTAAAGTATGCACAAGATTGTGTAGTCCCTGGTAGCATTGGTAATAAAGTAAATTGAAAAGTGATTTGTTTGACTTCCTCAATACAATAGGATTAGCAAAACCACAACAACCACTTGTTACTGTTATTGTTGGTGGTGGGTGACGAATATATCAAATTGTCAGAATACTTTCAGTGAACAAGATTTCTAATGGGTGTATTATGTTGTAGGAAATTCAATTATTCATCACTTATGTTGTTCATGATGTCTTAAGTCACCAACTGTTCCCTATTTAGTTTATCAAATAAATTTTACTAGGTAAGAATGTTTCAATAACATTTTTTCATGTCAGTGCCAGATCAAAATTTACTTTGTTTTTGTATTTCTATAAATAATATACAATAAATAAATTAACTATTTAGGTAATAATTTTTGGCCAACCACCATTCAAAAAGTAAAGGTGTACATAGTACAATGTACACAACATGCAGTTTATTTTAAGAGATCAATGAGAATTATTTTAACGGTATCAACTAAACTGCCTAAACTAAGGCATAAGGCTAGGCTATACGACAAGGCAATAACCTGACAAAGATATTGAGCCTTGGAAGTAAGTAATTACAGCCGTGAAAACATGGTACTCACTTAAGATTTTCCCCGCTGAACTCCTTTTCCAAAAATTTAATGAAGTGTTCTCTTCCTACAGGGTCTGCCAATAACTCCTTCAAACTGAAGGCCCATCTCTTGACCCTTCTGGCAGAAATGTCTTTCCTGTGGTAAAACAAGAAACATGTTAATCTTAATTGTAGTATTTGATCAATTTTATCTCGAACGAATAATAATTTGTATGCCTAAAACAGCTACAAGTAAAAGAAAAAAATACTACCGACAATAAAGGATATCAAAACAAAAATTAGTTTTTAAGTTAAATAAAACTATTTCTGTAGCTTTTAAACTCTGTCATACACACAGGCTGGAGCTGCCTGGGTGGCCTTAGAGTTGCTATAAATCAAGTATTGTTGGCCTTATTAGGAATTTAAAGCATTAGTGTAGTTTGTTTGATTTAGAAAAAAAAAATAAAAGATTGCTTAGTGCATGAAGTAGATTACAAAACAAAATTAAGTAAATAATTGTTCTCACAAGAATAACTGTTTGATTTTGATTTTAAAGGTACCATGATTTGTATGATGTCAAAAACAATTAATATTCCAAGGGTACAAACTACAAAGGTAAGGCAAATATACCAGTAATCGGCTGTGATTAAGGTCAATGTCATCAATTCCATAATTCAAGAGAAATTCCTAATTTTTTGTTCAAAAACTAGTCAAAGTTTAAAATATTAAGAAATCTGGATTAAAAGTGTGTTAAAAAGCTTGTAAAAGAGTCAAGTTTCAAAAAGAAGCTAGAAAAATGAGGAGTAATTATTATAACTAATTAAATAAAACACTCCTTTCAGATTTGATCAGTGGTGAATTTTAATGATAACTAGGTTTAATTTAACCCTCGCTCACATAACTCAGAATTCTATCAATAGTTGATGGTATTATACTCCGTTCTCAAAATGTAGGCAGTTTGAGGGGAAGCGATTCCATCCCCTCCATATCACTCTAACTTTGAAAAACAGCCGACAGCTAATAAGCTGATAAAAAAGTAGTGGGGGAACCCAGGAAACCTTCCCTTTAAACTGCCTAAATTTTGTGAACAGACAATAGCCAAATATTATTTCTGCAATCAACTCATACAAAATTAAACAGCACTCCAAACATGAATTGATTCCAGTAAACTGAACCTTAAAAATGTTTACTCTTTAGGTTGGCAACCGTGAGTGACAGAGTGAGTAAACATAACAGATGTTTTGTTTACTAACAGTAAATTTGGCACTCGTGGCTAACCATTTCTACTCCTACAGCAGCCAACACAATGTACTGAAAATGTCAACAACAATAATATAAAATCAGCCAGCAGGATTGAATTAATAATGTTGAAAAAATAATTTTATATCGTCAGGAAAACATACCTAAAAAATAACCAAGACAAAAATTAGAAAAGAGTTTTTTAGATAAAAACATGTACGTGGAAATAGATAATATTTGCTTGAATGTCAATGATTATTTTGCAGCTAGTACAAAAATCTGTAAGATAAAACTGTCTTCCTACAATGGTAACCTATTAATATTCATAATACAAATATTTTTTAGGTTATAAATATAAATGAATGAGTCCAAAATGATTACTCACGTTTCTTTATACTGATCCCAGAAGTCTGGACTGTCCGATATCCATGGATTCGCCATTTCCGGAGGTGTGAAGAATGAATCATATTCTGAATACTGCTCAAAGTAACTGATGTATCTACAAACATATTTTGACCAGTGAGAAATCACAAATTATATAATTTATTTATTTATAACTACTATTCTATTAAAATGTGTTTGATGTCTGAACAAAAGACTACATTATTTTGAAAACATCTTCCAAATTAATCTTTGGTAGACTATATTGTATTTCAAAGTGTTTTAACATTACTAATTTTGACTATACCAAAGTCAATATCCAAATATCTAGGTCAAAATACTAAAAGGAGTAACAGATGGAAGTAAAATGTACAACTTACGACTCTGCAACTTTGGAGATTTTGAAATTGCGACGGTCGAGGCGTGATTTGAGCATCGTGATTTCCTTGTTAAGAGCTTCGACCGTAGCCGTAGTCTGAGCGTTGGCTGTGGTCTCGCCGGGCCGCGCAGGGACGATCTTATTCATACGACACGCCTTCTTGATGTCCAGCTCTGTCGTGTTGACACATCCGGGCTGCCGGGACGAGATTGATGATGGATTAGATTTTTACGATGCGGACATACCACGTTGTGTAAGGGAAAGTGAGTGTTTTATAGATTAGATGATAGCTTTGTTACTGAGTGAGAGCTGGTTCTTTAGTCAGAATCATTTACTAGCCCAATGATAAGTGAAGCACATGGGGGGTTTCACAACTTTTGAACCAGAGATGAAGAACATTAAAGATTATAATCTAGGATGAAGGGAGAGTGAACACATTTCGTGGAATATTCCAGTTTGCTGAGGGGCCACTAGTATCACTAGTGATTCATGTACTAACAATATTTCACTTCTCCGGAAGCTTCTTTAAAAGAGGAAGAGATTTTGGGATTTAATTTTTATTTTCAAGTTTTTGTGTAAACATTTTTGTAGCATCTGTATAGCTATCATTGCCGTATAGCCGCCATTGCCAAATAAGTATTTTTATTTTGCAAAAATTAGCCATACATAAAATTTTAGCTGATACTTTTTGCACGTTCTTCTTGCCGCCTCATTTTATTTAAACTTAAATTAGGCTAATTTAGCATCAAGGTTTTTATATTGAAATGTTAAATAATAAACATTTGGCCTTAAAATTCTTCTTTTTTTTTGGAGATAAAGGAAAACGATTATTTTATGAGGCATAAAAAGGATGTGTAAATTTTCTTTTCATAAAAACGAGGTGTTATTCAGTAGGCCTACTTAGATACCCTTTACAAAAACTAAGCAATGGTTTTCAGGAAATGGACTAGGCCTATACATTCTTGAGAGGTTAAATATAACTTATAAAATCCATTCAATAGAAAATATAGTGTACAGTTGTAACTTAAACTATGAAAATCCTAAAAGAAAATTATTTTCAAGGCCCTGTTTTAGCTGAGGCCTTGTTTAATTCCCAATGACCAGCTATTGGAAGTCTAGATAAGTTGGAAGAATGTATTATTTACCATTGGTCGGTGAACGTCCCAAAAAGCCCTCTCTTGACTGTCGAGAACCTTGCGTTCCAACTTGTCCCTCTTCTTGTCTACTTTGCTCTGGGCTTCCGCTTGCATGAATATAAACTCCCACTTGCGCGAGAACATCTTCTGCAGTCTCGCAAGGCTCTCTGCCTCGTAGTCTGCCAGCTCCAGTCTTGTTTTGTTCTGCATCGTCCGCTTGCAGAGATACACAGCTGAAACCACAATGTTGCATGGGAGTCAGCTGAAGAATGCACTTGACTACTAGTCCTACCGGGTCAATCAATGTAATTTGTTGTAACACAACTTATATTGTATTAAATGCTGCCTATGACAGTTGAAACTGTAAAGAATATTACCATATATAAGTCAAAACTCACTACCTATGCTTGTGTTATTTTACTTGACTTAAATGTTGCTTGGCGTAGCGGACTATGAATCGCAAGCAAAAAGCAAGCTGTACTGCAATACCCAGGTTAAAGATACTTTGGAGCACTTTTTACACTTCCATTGCATAATAGAAAATTAAAATCTGATTGAGGTAAACCTTCTGCTCTTTGCTGTGAATCATGGTCACTGTCTCTTCTTATTGACTGCCCAAAATAAAAATAGTTTTACATACTAACAGACTTTAAAATTGATTTTCAAACTCATACTAGTGCAGATATATTTGAAACTGGCCAAAAAAGTTCATATTATTTATTTATTCTAACTGAATTATGTTAGATTTAAGCTGTAGTCCTATTGTTTAACTTTATACTAAATCTACCAGAGTGGCCATATTAAAACAAATTACTACGGATGGAATAAAAATATTAATATACACATCAATAGATTTCTGATTCAACCAATAAACTCAATCAAAATGGGGTGTAATTTTTCTCACCATAATCTGTATTTTCTGGTTCCCAACAATTTGATGGCCAAAAGTATGGAGTCTGTAACAGATAAACAAATGTATATAAATAAATTGTCATTTTTAGGAAACTAAAAAAAGACATAAGGAAGATACATTACAGTTTTCCTTTTATCCTACTTTTACTATTTATCATCCTACAATGATTTGCTTTTCAACTGCAAACTATTGGGTTATCAAACGAGAGAAAGGCTTTTACAGTCAAAGTTGACAGTCGAATCTTGAGTTTTCAAGAGGTATCCACAGCATGGAATTTGCGAAAATTCCAGCTTACATTTTTTGTAAGCTTCAGGGCAATCAACAAATCAACTATGCAAATTCAATGACACATTTATAGAGATTGGAAAACAAAGGTCTGAAAGTCTATGGTGTTTCAATATAGTTTTTAATGTTTTATATTACATAACATAAAGCTCAAGATAAATAATTTGAGATTGTCTGAACCCAAACTAGTTCTTAGAAAAGTTTAAAACTCAACACAATAATAATAATAATAATAATTTCGGAAACATTAAACAAGAACTCACAGAGACAGCAGTTTGAAAATAACAATATTCTAGTAATCGTACCTGGAATCGGTAGAAGGTATTGTCATTTTTAACAGTAAGCATGTGGTCGTCGATGGGGAAGAAATATCCATGGGCAGCCATGAGGTGGCCTAGGTGCAGGGCTTCAGCTGGTAAAATAAGCAAAGTAATGTATAAACAGATGGACAAAGACCACTAATATGATGTGTATTTAAAACCATTTTTGACAGGATATAATACAGTACTTTTAATTACCCCAACCCCAGTAATTATTTTGTTCTATATTTGATAAAAAAAACACTTTACTGAAAATAGTTATTTGTGTAACTAGTGGGCAAAATGGCACTTTGCTGCACGCGACATCAATGTTATGGAATGATCTCGAGTGGGTGCAGGAAAGGCCTTTTGCACTCGTGTTACACATTACATTTTTCCTACAGTCACTATAAAGCATATAAATAATTAGTCTTTCAAACACTATACAACACGTTTTTAGGTTCAGCTGGCAACACAAATAGGTGCCCTAGAGAAAGTAGTACCCGGTCCGTATCACTACGCTATATTTCCTCGGCAAGAAATGTGCTCCGCGACTTGAGAATATAGTTCTGTATGTTTTTGTAATTTGAAGTGGTTTCCGCGCCTAAAAAAAATGCTTTAAAGATATTTTCTTGTTTATTAAGATCGTAGGAATGTTTTAAAAACGTTTAAAAGAAAAGTCCAGAAAGTTCAGAAATACCGAAACGATAAACAAGGAATGACAGGTTAAATCGTAGTTATAATAGTCAATCAGCTGCTCATAGTATTATTATCTTTAAGTGTTGCCAACCTATTTCCAAGCGTACGCAGATTACGTGCATAATAGAACCACGCTGTTTTGTGTTATTTCGTTGGAATCCTGATGTGCACCAAAGTATAAACCGTACGGCAAAGTATAAACCGTACGACAAAGTATAAATATGCAGCAATTAGCAGCTTTCTGTACTATAAACAGTACAAGGAAGCCAAGGAAGTTTGTCGGGTGACTGTAGGAAAACATCCATTAATGGCAAACAGAAAAGCATAGTTACACATATAACACAGTAAAAACAGTAAAACACAATATATAAATTAACTTTAGGCTACTCTCTATTTTTAATTGTTTACTCTGTGTTTAGTTACATTTATTTAGCCAGGAAAACCCTTAAAGGTCTACAGTCTATGTTAATATTAGAAAAGGGTTAAAAAGTGGTGAAAGCTACTTACTTGTGTCTTCAACATCCAGATTTTTCACCATCCAAAGAATAAGATCAGATCCTAACACAAAATAAAATGTTAAAAGATTTTTGTACTAGGACGCTAGGCACGAGCCTGGGACTGTTTTTCACATTATTTCAGGCTAGACCTAGGAGTTGCTACATTATCACTTAAAAGATAAAGTCCATTGGTGATTTGGCAGGATTTGAACCGGGGACCTCAGGCATCGTCGTCCAGCGCTCTAACCACTACAACAGCTCGCTCCCCCAAACGTTAGAGATTAAGAGATTTTAGAATTACAACTGCGTGGAGCCAAGGCTTGACTTATACATTCTTAATTTGATATAGTGTCACAATACATGAACTTAAATAAACTTAATACAAAATTGATTACAAAACCACATAATTTACATGGCTCCCAAGAAAGATGTTTATATTGATAACTAGCCCAAGAATTTTGATTTACTTGGTCTATTCTTTCTGATAAAAAAAAAAAAAATGGTTGATTTAAAACGCTGTCTATGTTATTTTATGGGAAATAATATGATAACATAATAATAATAACATTTGACTTTTCAGTGTTAATAATAAGATTTTTCTGGTAAAAAATTTGATAGTAGTTAAAAAACTCTTTAGAAAACCTCTCAATCTGTTGTTTTTATTTTCCCGGAATTAGTTCATTACAATCATCAGCAAACAGACACATAGATCCGCCGTTTCCAGGAATCGTCCCTGGCATACCTCTAATATAGCAGGAAAAGAGTAGGCCTAGAGCCCTAAGAACTGTAGAGGTATATTAAGAAAAAATACGGTAGAGCTCACATCACTTGAATCAACCGTAACATATTTGGATGGTTGGATTTTTACTGAAACTCAGGGTCTTTACAGTTAAAACAGGCCGAGTCAAGCCAAGCTTTTATTATTTTGATCCTGAACGTGTCTGCAATAATTTTGGGTTTGAATTCAAGTATAGAACGGTATTGGTTAATTTTATTTAGTCAATTAAATCAACTAAATGACCACTCAACATAAACTAAACTCAAGTCCCATTAAGAATTACAAATCAGGCTTATTTTTGTAAAATATCGAAACAGACCTGTAAAGACTGAAGGAATTTTAGACATGAAGCTTTTCACTGTACGAACAGGAACTCCGGTGTTCTCGTCTTGCATTCTTTCAACAATCCCTTCCATCTGAAATAAAAAAAAAAGTTACTTTCAGGATGAAGAAAACTCTAAACATATCGGTTCTTAAAAATAAATCAAATGGATTTCGGATTTAGCTGTCATCACATGTAATCACACCTCACGACAATCACAGCTTCACTACAACTGCAGGGCAAAATCATGATTTTAGCACAACCAAGGGAGACCCCCCATGGTCTCAATTAATAATGTAATTAAGTTAATCATTAAAATAAAACTTTTTTTAATGTTTGCTGAAAAAAATTCTAAATGCAAACTAACCTTTTTGTAGACCAGGTGGTTAGGCGTGTCGTCAGAGTTAGGCGTGTGAACCTGTGCCACCTGCTGTCCGCCATTTGGCTCTTGCTTGCGCCTAACGGCTTTTTCGGAGCTCATTGTGACCATACTCAATGCTTCTTCATTTGCTTTTTACTTGATATTCAATTCATCTTAATCAATTGTGCCTAAGTGAAAGATGGGATAACAATAAATATAATTATTGTACAATATTTTTAATTTCAAAAAAATATTTCATATAGACAAATGAATATCCTATAATGGGGAATGGGTGTAATGTTAAACAAAACAAGAGATTACATTTACATATCTTCCTAATACTTTGCAAACAAATATGGTCAGTTCACAAAATCAAGGCCGTTTAAGGGGAAGTTCCCCCACTACTTTTTTTGCTTAATGTATACTATACTTCGCAAGGGGAAGAAAACGCTAAAGAGAATAATTATTATGTTCCATAGATCTGCTGTGTGTAGATAAACTTTTAGCAGTCCACTAAAAGTATTTAAACTGGCTACTGTGTTTCCCAAACATTATTTTTTGTGGAAATAAACCAAACAAACGCAATAGGTTTTTATAAAGAAATAGGAGGAAAGAAAGACAATAAGTTAATGAATTATGCACTAAAAAATAAAACAAATTTTTCACACGGTATCAATAATTATTTAGGGCCTATTAAATTAAAAACATAAACATAGACTAACTGTAAAAAAATTATACTTTGACAGTTCTCATTTTGTATCACATCTTTTTTGTTGCTACTTGGTTCAATCAATGAATACACCAAACCCGGTACTTACGTATTAAACGGAGGCCACATTTTGTCAGCGCGCTGCGGCGGTTATGTTAGGTTGGGTTATCGTAAATATTATGTGTGTAGGACTTTCCTCGCTTCGTTATGAATCGAACGATACCAGACGAGTTATACTTTCTATTATGATAACCCAACCTAACATAACCGCCGCAGCGCGCTGACAAAATGTGGCCTCCGTTTAATACGTAAGTACCCCAAACCCTTTAAGAAGCGAAATGCTTATGGAGAATAGTCAGACTGGAGGTTTTCCGTCAAAATGAGCTTCACGCGGCCGCCTCTACGATTGTTCATGCGGCGGCCGCGCTACTCTATCTCTCTCTCTTTCTAAGCAGTTTCTTTGTCTCACTCAGACAGCTGACCTGGCCATGCTCGCGTTAGTCTACCTAGCGACCGACGTGGAAACCTAAATCGGAAATTTAAATATTTCCAGGCTGAATTATTTACAGAGGCATTGCGCTTCTTAAAGGGTTTGTATTCACTGGTTCAAATTAGCTGTTGTCATAAATTTAAAAAATGCATAGTGCTGCACACTGTTGGTAATCCTTGTATCTTTTTATTGCTATTGAACATATCATAACAGAATCAAACTGCTTTGAAACAGATGTTAAGATTCTTTAATTCCATTTAAATATGAGTAGGCCTACTCATAAGGTTAATATGGGAAACTCGAAGCCACTGGGACGGATCTGCACCAGACTTCACACAAACCATCCTTAAATAATCTGTATATTTAATAAGCGACATGAAACTTTGTGAACAATAAGGCTTTTTTGTTTTAAGATTTATCCCCACATTTTATATACCAAAATGTTTGTCTAGGTGTGTAGAAGTGCAAACTGGCTTTAGATTTTCTAAGAATATCTTTTTAAGGGCGTGGGCTGCCCTCAAAGCTCCTTCCATAAGGATAACATTGTGATTGATTTGAATGTTATTATATTCTGAAACAGATGTCAACACATTAGTTTAAAAAAAGTTAAATCCCAGCTGTTTTGTTTGGTTTTGAAATGTAAACAGTTTGCATGTTTTTAAAATTAATTAGAAACCCGGCAAAGAAATGTTACCTATAGGAAACGACGGGAGAAAGTTGTACATTATATTTTCGTTTAAACATGCCAAGGACCCGAGTCCGACGACAAAGAAATATTTCCGGTCGGACACGGCGAGTCAACATAAGGCAAGCAATGCAAAACGTAAGGAGCCCCAGACAAGGCGGAGCTGGAACAGTTATTGGCAACTTGTACTTACAAAATTACTTTGACAAATACAAGAATTCAGCAGCATTCACTTGGCAAGATGGCATTAAAATTACAGAATTTTGGTAAGCTACATTTTAAAGAAAAACAACGAGGACCAGGGGAAGGATTTTAATCCTGCTGCCATAAAGGAAAAGTGAATCTACCACCATACCGAGAAATCTATTATATCCAGAGCCTACTTAATGGAACAAATTATTTGAGCAGAAACTAGAAAGAGAACGTTAGATCGTACAACTCTGCGCTCGCAATGGTCAGCACTCGAGCCAAAATTGAAGAACATAACGGTGGAGGGCCTTTCATGTATAAGGTACATGATACAACTTATCACTCAATTGACACCTTAAACCGTCAGAAGGGGAGCATCCCACATATGCCCAAATTTATATCTACAGACGTCGAAACCGCTGTTCAAGAAAGAATGCTAAACAAAGCTAATGGCTCTTGCAGCATTGAACTCATGCACATTTTGACTTTTGGTTGATATTAATCCATACACGCAAGTTTTCAGCATGATGAGCACCGTCCTGCAAAATACTACTACTGAACAGCAAAAAGAACTTAGAATGCATATAGCCAACGATCGAGCTCAAGACCAACGTCGATACAACGACGCAACTTCTAACAGACGTTGCTATAATATCCTAATTTATTATTCGTGCGGAATCATCTAATGCTTACTTAATACATGAAAGTTTCATTACAATATGTCGAGCAGTTTCGGAGTCCATAAGGAATATACATTCTTCCCCTTCTATAGATAAAGACTAGCTGCTGTACCCGTGCTTCGCAACGGGAAGATGTACTATCCAGCCTAATCCAAACACTTGTTAAATAGTTTCAATTTATAAACAAAAAGCCACTAAGTTTATACAAAAAAGTATAAACTACATTGTTATTGCCCTACTGTTAACATGAAAATATATCAATAACATTATTTTCATAACTTCAACACTTTAATAAATTGAAATCAGAGCTTGGGTTGACACAGCAACAGTTATAGCCTAGAATATTTTTTTCCATAATCAATAACATAATTTTAGAATAAATAAACCTGCCACATAGTTGTGTAAAATATTATATTTAATGTCTTTGGATCAGCTGTCTGAAATAATGTGTGAAATAAGCAATTTGGCAGTTCTGCATGTTTACATTGAAATGTTAACTCAAAAAAACGTAGTGAATTTTCTTATGCTTCCATGGAGATCAATATTAATATTTACTTTTGAAACCTCGCCTCAAAAATTTGGACATCCAAGGGGCATAGCCTGAGAGGAACTCAGCTATTTTGGATTTATCAGTTTAGTATTTTAGTTGTACAGCTGCCCAGAAACATAGACAGACAGACACCCCCTCAATTTTATTTAGTAGGCTATAGATTACAGCTGATTGATATTTTGACAAACCTCAGCTGTTGAGAGCTATTATTTCAAATGTAGGATCAAGTAAAGGGAATAGATTTAACACGTTCGCTGCTGACCGCTAGATGCCGGGACGGCGCCAGGAGCTGAACTAACGCTTGCCGCTGCGCAACATTACCGCTGATTCACTGATTTACAGTAAAAACAACAGTAGTTATACCAGATGGCAATGTTCTGCAATAAAACTGGCTTTAGACATAGTACTAAGAGATTCTGATAGATAGCAGCACTACCCAGGTTGCAGTCAGCTAAGTAGTGTCGCTATTTAGCAGGAAAGAGGTGGGACAAAGCCCTGTTCTAAACAACCCTGGTGGTGATTTTGGGAAAATATATTTTTATTGTTAGAAAAGTACGTCCCCATGAGCTGCAAAGAAATATAGGACGCTCGTGACGAGCTGGCTGATCCATAGAAACGTTAAACAACAATGAACGGTGACGTTCCAAAACGTTCCTAGCTCCTGGCGCCGTAGCCCGGCTAACATTTCGGAACGTCCGTAACAGCAAACGTGATATTGGAGTACCTATCTATAGTTTACAAAGTTATTTATGATACAAAGAATGAATACGGAGCGGCTAAAATACTTGAAAATGTTTGTGATGTTTAGAAATCGGGGCAATAATACTGCACATCTAGGGCCTACTTTCTTTACAAGTCAAAAATATCTTTAAGTTATTATACAATCCTTCAAAAATTGCAATAGTGTCACAACAGTTTTTTAAAATTAATTTCTGGTTTACAGTAGCCTAGATTTTCTCTCCTCTAAAGAAATTCATCAAGAAAGAAGTTCTTCTCATATTTTTTTAGGCATATGCTTTTTTAAAGGCCTTTTCTGAAAACAAGTTGATTGGGATAATGAACCTTTCAAGATCGGACCGCTTTCCTTAAAAGTGTTTTTGTACGCTCTTTAATACCTCAAACAAAGATAAATGCCACAAGAAAAAAAACTCAAATAGCCTATTTCTTTGAGTTTGCCATGCTAAGTTTTAAAACTGAAATTTTCTAACACATGAAACCAATTATTGATAGTCTAAGTGGCAGCTTGATTTAAAGTAAATTCATTAATATGGTATCCTGTTTAAATTAAAACGACTGTAGCTCAACTAATCACTTATTTCAGATTCTGGCTAAATTTACCAACAAAGAATATTTAAATGTGTAGGCCTACTCAATGAAAATGTTCAGAATTCATAGATTTTTGGACAGAAAAATATTCTAGGAATTAAGGAAATGAAAGAATGATTCATTGTTCTGGAAGATGACCATTTAGCTTAAATCTAGAATTGTTTTGTGTGCTATTTGGACTTCAACTGTTTTCTATTGCAATTGCACTTGTCAACTTGTAGGCCTACATATAACTTAGTGTTCGTATGTCAAGAGGAATGGCATAATGTTAAGGGTCAGTAAGTTATTATTGACTTGGTCAATTTAAACATTCTGGCAGACTCAATCGCTCCAGACAGGGCCGCCCCGAGGGCAGGGCGAGCGGGGCGACCGCCCTGGGCGCCGCAGATAGGGGGGCGCCGCGGCTTTGGAAGGTAAAAATTTAACAACGTTATCGGCGAACCGCAAACAAATATTTTACCGGAAACTCGCAAACATGTAATCAATGACAATGACTATAAAAAAGGCAATCTATTGCTTTCGCTTTATTCATATTATTTATTATACAACGCGTACTATTACTACTTATACGTCTGGCATGTGACTTAAAAATTGGCAATACTGCAAGTCCAAGACACTCACTGCGTATTCACGACGCCCCACATACACTTGCTTGTTTCTAACCTCAAAGCTTAACAAACTCTCGTCAACTCATAGTCGTTTTGTGATGTCCGTTGTCAGTCGTAGCATAGATAAAACATAGTATGTTTTATCTTTGGTCGTAGATTCAATGTTTTTAGTAATTTAGTTCAGTTTAGTTGTTACATTTATAAAGAATTACTATGCAAAACGTTCGATATCGATATATCGGATGTTGGGTCTAATGACGGTTGACGCAAACCCCCCAAATACCTTTTTTGGGGAGGGGCGAAAATTTAAATCTCGCCCCGGGCGTCTATTACCCTCGGGGCGGCCCTGGCTCCAGAACCTTAAAAATTAACTTGGTTATTTACCAAGCTTTTTGGGGACGGATTAACTCATGCCTAATTGACACATCACAGGTCAAAATGCATGTAGGCCTAGTGATTTTTACAGCACACATGTACATTTTTGGTAATATTAAAAACTTATGAATTAATCCTTCAATTAGTTACGGTATCACAAAAAAAAACCTTTAACATTTAATGTAAGTTGAAGATTTACAACAAAACTAAAAATAATAAGTTAATATGTAATAAGTAATATGGGTTCCTATTTTTCTGGCTTTATAGCCTTTAAGTTAGTTTTATTTTGCACACCATTTCCTAGACGTTTTCTAGTTGGAAGAGGTTTGAATTGGTAGCCTAATTTGTGAATTGTTATTAGTAGGCTATATAAAGTACACCAAGACTGTAAAACTATGAATGTTCTCATCTGGTAGAGGTAGGCTAGGCCTAAGTGGATGAACTTGGGTTAATTTTTGTGTCACCTTTTAACCATACAGTATTTCAAGATTGTTAAGCTAACTTACATCAGTTTCAAGTATTTGGGACAGCCAAACTAAACTTAATGAGGGATACGTGCATTAGCATTGCATTGACACTTATTGTTAAGTAGTTTTTATGATGTGATGTAGTTGAGAGAAAAAATGGTAAAATATGCAAAACTAATATAAAATAAATGTATTCCTGAAATGGGATCAAACTGATTTTGACACTTAAAGATCGGCATAATTTATTCCAATTGACTTTTTCAATCCCTTAAAAAATACCTGATTCAATGGATGTATGTGGAAGATAAAGTAAAACTTGAGATATACTTACTCACTTTGAGCAATTCTGCCACATAAAAAACAAATACTGACAGTAATTTAACTGAATTTTAGCCCTACATCATATCGGATTGACAAATAATGGCGTTCTTGACAAAACGCTAGCAGAAGACAATACTTTTTCTACCTCTCTCTTCACTCTTTGACAAATGAACACGCTCTCCAACATCTAGGCAGAGCAAAATTATTACAAGATTTTGATTGTACTGTAACAGATGTAAAAATATACTCTCATGAATATACACAATTAACTCAAAGATGAATCTTTATAATTTTTTCTTGAATATTGAATCACAATGTTAGTTGAAAGCACAGACAAATAAGAAATTCCCCTTTTATGTTTGTGTAAAGTATGATCGTATGAGGCCGATCTACCACCCTTGCAGCTTAGCCTCTGCGACTTAACCAAGGCTTTTGATGTAGTAACTCACGATATCCTCCTGCTAAAACTAGGCAAGTATGGCGTTTGTGATGTTGATCTCAAGAGCCTCTCAAACTATTTGAGGGACCGTAAGCAAGTTGTGTCTCTGCGAGGAGCCCTTTCCAGCATAGGCCATCTCTCACACGTTGTGCCACAAGGATCTGTCCTAGGCCCTCTCCTCTTTACTATAATGATTAACGACCTTCATCTGAATGGGAGAACATTATTATTTGCAGACGATACAACGCTGCTGACCAGAGGTGTCAATATTCACCAACTGCCAACAGAGGCTGAAGGAAGACCTGCTCGAGAGAGCCAAGGATTGGTTTGTTGTAAACCGCTTGATGAAAATCAATGATGACAAAACCCAGTCCTTAGTCTGTACGGTGAAGCGGAGAGTAGAGGAAGATGGCACGGTAAAGCTTCTGGGATTCACATTAGATAACAGGTTAAGTTGGAGCGAACACATCGCGCGGATATGGGTCAAGTTATCTCGCGCACTCTATCTTCTAAGATAAATTAAGCCCGAACTTCCTAAATCATCTCTTCTATCTGTGTACTACGCCTTATTTCACAGTCATGTGACTTATGGGCTGGTACTGTGGGGGCACTCCTTTAGCAGCTGAGGATATACTGCTTTTACAAAAAATGGCCTTGAGGATTATTACATCTGCTGGGTATTTGGACCATTGCCGGCCAATCTTCAAGGAACTATTGGTGCTCACAGTATAAAGTCAGTATGTTATTCTTGATATCCTGATCCTTACAGTATGGTAAGACATTAAATTTAATATAAATGTAAGAAATAAGATGAAACAACAACGATAACTAAGTTGTAAATAGTGATGTGTTGGTGTTTTCTAAAATGGTTCTCGCTACCAAGGAAAGTTACCAGTACCAAAAACCAACGTCATAACATGGTTACGGACACCTCTTACCTTTTACCTAGGTCCTCTTCTCCATAGTCGTTGAGACCAGGGAATCGTCAAAAATTCTTGTTTTTTCTTGTTCTTTCTTCTTTGGATGTTGTTATGTATTGTTGCAGGGTGTGTGGTCTTCGAAATATTCATTTAGACTATAGTAAGGTTTGTTGATTAAGTATTGTTTCAGTTTTTTTAAGAAAAGAGTGTTTGAATCTATTGATTTCAGGTTGTTTGGCAGTGTGTTAAATATTTTAGTTCCTATTATTTTTGGATTTCTGCTGGTTTTAGTGAGTCTGTGTGGTTGTAGATTGTAGTTTGTCTGTAAATTTCTGAGGTTGTAGTTATGGCAATTGTTTCTGGTTTGGGGGGGGGTCATTTTTTAGGAATTTCATTATTTCTAGGATGTACAAGGAGGGTAAAGTTAGGATATGGTTGGTTGTGAAAAAAGGTTTGCAGTGTTCCCTATATTGCAGTTGTTCAATTGATCTCACAGCTCTTTTTTGAAGTATTAGTAGCTTTTGTAGATGGTAGTCTGCTGCTGAGCCCCAGGCTATGATGCCATACCTCAAGTGACTTTCGAATAGGGCAAAGTATGCTATTTTGGCTGTACTCTTATCAGTCACTGACCAAATCCTTCTTATTGCAAAGAGTGTTGTTGACAATTTCTTTTCCAGGTTTTCTATATGTAGGTGCCAGGACAAGTTTTTGTCCAGGGTGATACCGAGGAATTTGGTTTCTGTTGCCATTGTGATCAAGGTGCAGTTTGCAGGTGGGTTATGATCAGGTTGATTCGATGCTGTAAAGTTTATGTTGACAGTTTTTGATGTGTTGATTTTGAGGTTTAGTGAAGAACATATTTCTGATGCCAGTTTTAGGGTGTTTTCTGTTTCAGCATGGTTTGTAGATGATGTTGGATAAATGATGGTGGTGTCGTCAGCAAACATTATGCAAGTTTTTTCTGGTGTTAGATGATTTGGGAAGCTATTGATGTATATCAAGAAGTAGAGGGGTCCGAGTACAGATCCTTGAGGAATTCCTCGTTTAGTTAGTTGAGTGGGTGATTTAGTTTTTGTTTGTATTTTATTTATCTGGTGAATTATTTCAACCTGTTGTTGCCTATCTTTGAAATAGTCTTTAATCCAATTTAGTGCGTTTCCTTTTATATTAATTTGGTATAGTTTGTCAAACAGTATATCTCTATCTAGGCTGTCAAAGGCTTTCTGTATGTCTAAGAAGAGTCCTGATGCTGGTTGTTTATTTTCCCAGAGGATGGTAATTGCTTCATGGAGTTCATTTAGTGCTGAGTTGATAGATTTGTTTTTTCTAAACCCGTGTTGATGAGGGGATAGTATCTGTAGGTTGGTTAGGTGTTCCATGATCTGTGTATAGATTATTCTTTCGAGGTATTTAGATAGTGTCGGTAAGATTGATATCGGACGGTAGTTTTCCATCAAAGTACTGTCTCCTTTTTTATATTTAGGATATACTGTTGCAGTTTTCATTCCAGATGGGACTTTTGCTTGATTAATCGAAGAGTTTATGATATGAAGAAGGGGTGGTGCGATTTCGCTCTGGCAGTGTTTGATAATTCTATTTGAAATTTCATCATACCCACATGAGTTTTTTGGTGGTAGTGCTTTGAAGATCTGTTTGAGTTGGTCCATGGTTATTGGCTTAAAATTTGATAATTCAAAGGCTTGTGTTAAGTTGGTAGTTTCATGCTGGTCTGTAGGAGGGTGAGGATCATTTATTCGAGTATTGTTACCCTGGGATACAAAGTATCTGTTGAAGGTGTCACTGATCAAGCCTGGGTCGTTAGTGAGGTTTTGATTAACGTTCAGGGTGAGAGGCCTATCAATATAATCTGCTTTGGAGTTTGTTTCCTTGTTTATGGTGTTCCATATTTCCTTTATTGGGTTGCTGGAGCTCTTGATCTTGTTTGAAATGTGTTTACGTTTTTTGTCTTTTATTTCCAGGTCATATATTTTCTTCAGCTTTTTGTAGGTGGCGTTGTCTTTGTCTGTTCCGGTTAGATTGTATTTATTTTGTGCGGTCTGTAGGTTACTTCTGAGTTTGTGCAGATTTTCATCCCAAAAACGGTTTGGATTTTTGTTTTTAATAGTTTTAAGGAACCTGGGCATGGTTTCATCCATATTATTTAGTCTTATGGTTTGGATTAGTGCCCTATACTGGTCGTCTACAGAGGGGTTTTGATAGACATTTTCCCAATTTTCATTTTTTAGTTTGGTTTTCAGCAAATCTAGATTTTGGGGAATAATAGGCCTGATCATTTTTTTAAAAGGCGTTGTAAGTGGAGCGGAGAAATCAGATATCTTGCATACAATTGCTTCGTGGTCTGATATATTACTTTGTTGGGCTGTAGCTTTAATTAATGATGGACAATTTGGTAGGCATGCGTACAGTTCAGCCTACGGTTAGGGTGACTGAGGGCATTGTTTGCTCTTTTCCACCAACCCATAAGGTGGTATATCACAACTTATTTTACCCGCCCTTCATTCATATTCACCTTTAATATGAACTTTAGAAGTGCTTTGGTACCTCATAAAGGTATTTAGATTTTACTATTTGTGTGCTGTCTTGTTATTCTATGTTAGTATAGCTAAAGGCCAAATCAATAAGAATAAAATACGTTTTTTTATACATTATTTAATGAACTAAGTATATACGGTACGTTGAAAAAATATAGCAAAAAAATAAATACTGTAAATACAACGTGTTAGTATATAAAAAAGAAAATATGAAAAAATCAATCCATTTACTATTATTCAACGCGCATTCTGTTATTATAAAAGAGAATGACAAAATGTTTAATAAGCTAAATTATAATATACATTATACAAAATAAGATAATATGACAAAAAATAAATACTATACTACTCCACTTGAAACCCATTTAATTCAAGACAATTCGTAAAGTAGTTTTTCCACCCGTGAAGTCAATGTAAAACCTAACTCTCTTATAATGGTGTAGATGTAAAATCTACAATTTCAATTTATGGTACAGTAAATTAGTAGTTCCATTGACCTTATTACTGCCTTAAGCAAACAATCTTTAAACATGAAAAGGCTATTACATTATTTGTTTTGCCTCAGAAATAGATCATGAACTCATATTAAAATGCGCGATTTGCACATAGGTCTCCAAATTTAGTTAAAAAATACCCTACATAAATTTATATATCAATAAGGTTTAATATTTTAACAATTATAAAATGATATTTGTTTTTATGATATACGATGAATTAAATTGCTAGGCCTCAGATGACTAGCTTTTGAAATTAATGCTAAACCACCAAAATTTGCCAACAGCTCCAAGGACCTTGGAACCATATTTTTATAATTCTGAACACTTGGTCATAAATTATGACATAGCAAATGGCTGTAATAATTTAATATGTGAAAAAATGTATGCAAGTTATAAATACACGCGCAAGTGTATAATTATGCTATCCATCACTATTACAGTTATTACTTTAATTGTGCAGAATTACTATATAAATTGATAACATTTTGCCAACGGTTAGTAAAGCACAATCCATTCCACCTAACAGACTCTTTCTGACTAAAGGTAAATGCATCAATAAATAAGATCCTTTTATTACACTTAAACTAATCCAGCTTATGTTGCTCGTTGTTTTAAAATGTTAAACCAAAAATGTATAATGTAAATATATGTTTGATAGATATGTCTTTTTTGCCAGAAGTGTTGGTGCATAGCTTGCTTTTG